ACACACACACACACACACACACACACACACACACACACATATACACACACATACACTGTCTCTTTCTCTCTCTCTAGCCTGGAGGGGCTACGTTGCTCGGCAGAACCTCAAGCAAATAAAGAAGGAGCGCGGAGAGGCCGCTGTCCGCATACAGTCAGGTAATAAACTATTTATATTTTCCTCTGAAGCTCTTCATACAAATGTAGGCCTCTGGAATTTTCTCATGTACTGTGGACCCGTGTCCGGTGGAAAAATTAATCCCATTTTTTCCTACGTTTTCAAAAGGAGAAAAGGGATAAAGGCACAAAAACCTTGCATCTTTGTGAAACACCTTTTTGATCTCAATGAGTGGCCCACGAAACAGTAATAATTAATTAATAATGCATAAAGGAAAGCTTTTGAAAGTTTGGGCAGCATTTGGTCCCCATGTTTCAGGAGAACAGTGCATACTGAGATCCTTCTTTTCCTTTCATCTCTTTCCCAGTAAAGGCAAGAGAGGGGCTTATCCCTTCTGTTTCCTCACGACTTCCTCTCTCAAATTCCTGGCCTATTACACAGCTCTCACATACCAGAAACAAGATGCCTTTTTATACTGTCAACCTTTTCATCTGAAATGTAAATTAATTCTTACTCAGTGTGCCTTGACGAAGATCAAAGTGGGCACATTAACCTTCCCGGGTCCCCCCCCCCCTCCACTCCCTCCTTGGAGCCTCTCACTGGAGGACAGGGGAGGGTGCCAAAAGGGGCAGGGGAGAGGAGGGCAGAAGGAGGAGATTTGGCATTGTTTCCCCTGGCTTCCCTAAGGGCTGCCCTCATCTGGCACATGGAGCATTTCGGTCGCCTGCACACCTTGTGTAAATGTCCTCCATTAAAGCCCTTGTAAATAACGCTGCAGAATGGGTAAACATGGTTTTCGGTGTGAGGAAAGCCTCTCCGTCGTCGCCGCTGTCTTTCTCTTTAGAAAAGTGTTTGTGTGTGGCCGCCGGGGTTTGTTGGATGGGTGGGGTGTAGGGGGGGTGGGCCTGAACCTGACATAAGTGGGGCCTCAGCCCCCCGGCAGAGCACTCCAGCACATTCACATTGTGTGTTCTCTGCAGCTTATAGCCTTTGAGGTGGACTGCATTTGCATTCTGAAAATAAACAGATGCCTTTCAAATGCATGAGCCTGGTGGCTTCTCAGATCTCAGCGGGGCCTGGGGGACATGCTCACCATCGATCAGATTAGACCATGCAAAATAGAACCACGGCTCAACAATGTACTTGAGCTTTCCTTTCCTGTGCATATAATTTTACAAGAAAAACACAAAGCCAGTTGACGGAGTAAATCAGTGGGCTCCATTTACCATCCATCTCACTTCAGTATGTTTCAATAATCATGCTGTTTTCCTACTGCTGCTCCTTGTGTAGTCACTAAACACATTTCTCCAAGTGAATGCATTGTTTTTAATGCAAAACTGTCGTAACACTTTGATAGAAATTGTTTTTCACTTGATAACTGCCCCAGTGGACTATACCAATGTAGTTGGAATGTATTACAGAGAGAGGACAATGGTTCTCTGACCATGTGAAAGCATGTCTGACGTATATTTTCTGTGCAGCTTACAGGGGCCATCGGGTGCGTCGCGACCGTGGACCCCAAAGGCACAGATGTCAGCCCGAGGCTGGCAGAAAGACCACCGAGGAGGAGCATACGAGGTGAACTTTGACATCTCTTGCCCTTCAGGGTCTGTGCTCATCAAAACCATGTTTTCCTGCAGTTTGATTTTTTTCCCCTTTCAGACAGTAGTCTTCAAACACAAATGAAAATGAGACCGTTAGAGACAACTTATTAAACAAGAGGTCTGACACACCGTCACTCATCTCCAGCTCTGTTGGACGGATTCCTTTCACCCCATAATGTATTGTTGTTTCAAGCAGCAGAGAAAGCTCCTCCCTGCGCGCCACCTTCTCAGTTTTATAAATGTAATAAATATCTTTCCACCAGATTGCACACTTGTCTGACCACAAACGGGGCTGGGTGCTTCGCTGGTCTCCAGATGTACGAGCTGAGAACTTTGTGTTTATTCAGCATATGGGCAGGCCAGTCATTAAGAAAGTATGTGCTAAGCAGGAGAGCAGCCACCGACCAAACAGCAGCACACGTGGTGTCGATGGAGGCTTTTAGCAGAAACGCAGCACCGCAACTCAAACATATCAGTTCATTACAAATCCCTTAATATAAGTTATTCTTGGATGATTCTGTGTTATGAGAATCAAAGAATGCTGGGAAATTACAATAAGGACGAATTCACTGAGGATGAGAATGATGTTTAAAAGGCTGTTGATGTCTTGAAAACCACTCACATGTTAAGAAATTGCTTTCAAATCTTGGGCGACTTTAAAAACTCTCAAATACTAGATTTACACATCTGAAAATGTTATGCTCCTTATATACTCAAACCAAGCGCAGCCTCATCAGGGAGTTTTCTCTCCATGTTTACAATCATATTCCTTGGTGAGAAACACTTCAAACCTCCACTTAACAATTCTGTTTAATCAGTGTTGGAATCTCTCCATATAGATTTATTTTGACATGATCTGGCCCATTTTCCTCCTGTAAGATCTATGTTCTCACCTACATGCTGTTCTTTTCCCTTTTGATATCCCTCCTCACTGCCACGCATGAATTCTGCGTTTTGCATCCAAAGAGCGGAGCCTCCAGTTGCATCACTGAGTCCAAACTGGAAGAGTGTTTTTTTTTTCTAGACTCGGAGCGTGACTGTGACTGGTGTGCACCTTTGTGTTTGCAGATGTTGTTGTGTTTGTGTTTTAAATAATTAAATAACAATGAGTGATCACACAGAAACAAACCCCTGTCTCGATCTCTGCAAATTGCATAATCATGAACTAAGGCTGTTTTTTTACCACTAAACAAGGAGATAAATATAAATCACCCCTACTATTGTTAATACTGTCTGAACAGTTATCAATATGTAAATATCATAACTATAATGTATGTTGTTTAATGATATTTATGTTCATTGTACCTAAAGATGATTCTTAATTTCACAGGTCTATCAGCCCGAAGAGTAAAGAGTCACATGCAGATCACATACACAGAGGAAATGTAAGTAACCACGTATAAATTAGCTTTGTCTTGCACGCCTGACTTTAGCCATGTATGTAAAAATGCTGCTCCTTTTTAAAAAAAAAAAAAAAAAAAGCAGCTTTAACCCAGATTATTCTTTGGGAATTTTTGAGTCCTTGAGACAAAAGAGTTGTCTTGCTCCAACCTCCATCTCAGCAGAGAAGACAGGGTGGTACGGGAGCGAGAGAATCAAAAGGCTGGAAATTCACGGCTGAGAATAAATGCCCGCTCTTCCCTGAGGTGATTTGTCTTTGCGCTCCTCTTTCTACAGATGTTAGACCCCTTTTTTAGTAAAGACCTGAGGTTCTTTGGTAGCACTTTGATATCCTGCTCGGATTCAATATGTGAAATAGAAGAGCCACTCCGTGACTTGGAGCACATCACAGTCTTTGAAGTCTGATCCAATTTTTGCTGCTCACCATTTGATGTTGAAAGGATGAAATGAGGAAAATGTACAGTTTTTGCCAGTAACTCTGCTGAGCATATGTAAGATTAAAAAAGCAAAATCCTTTGGAGGATGTACTTAGAAATGTTAAGCAGATTAATACTTTCCTATAGCTCTTTTATTCAAAGATAAAATTAAATATGAGAGGAAGTCTGTATGTGCTGTTTTTTAACCTCACAATTAAGTCAGTGTGTTGCTGTTTGCTAGGAGGTAGGGTTACTAAAGGGGGATATGCAATTGCATTAGCATTTGATTAACATTGCAAAGCACATTAATGGGTGTGAGTGCCAAATTGTAAATTGTAAATAAATGAATACAGCATCTACATGACTAAATTGAAAAAAATTACAGAGCCTGCTTCAACTTGTGTCTATTTATCCAGTTCTTTTCATTGACATTGCTCTTCTGGGTGTGTTTACGCCTCCTCTTTCAAGGTTGGCCCCGACAGCCGAGACAGACAAGTGAAAGACTTCAAGAGAGACAAAGGCAGAGCGGAAGACAGTGTAACGAAGCCTTGCAGGGAGACAGCTAGGCTGCAAGACATGCAGTGTAAACAAGGTAAGCCCGAGCGCAGAGCTGGCGGGTGCAGGTAATTACACAAAGAGACAGCAGAAATCCCGCTTTAATGGATAAAGTGCCATTTTTAATACGGGACCCCTTTCAACCTTTCATCCCAGCCAATCCCCTGCTGCCATTCTTTGTTGACAGCACAGGGAGAGAAGTATTATGGGTGATCATTTCTGTGGTATTTTAATAACCCGGGTCAGCTCATCATAAACGTCTCATGGCAAGTGGTGGGGGGGCTCTTTGGAAGTGGCACGAGCACTTCAAAGCTTTCGTTCTCCTGCACGGTGAGTCCTTCACTAAGGATCTCATCAGTGACTCTTAATAGACCTGCACAGTAACGGTGACAAGAAAATACACAAACCATGATTTGTTGAACATATGTTTGGTTTGCTTTTTGCCCCAGGCGATGAATTACATTAATTCCCGCCTGCCTGGAAGGCTGAGTGGGTGGCTGCGCAGGGGGCCTCCGATTACGGCCGTCACCCACCACTAGGGTAGCCTGGGTAATGGGGGCCTGGCCCTTCATTAATGTTATTAGAGGGGGTATGAGGTAAGAGACGGAGGTGGAATAGCGTTTAGCGGCACGGCAGAGAGATTACGGGGATTAGACATGATAATGTAACACAGACAGGGCTCTCCAGCGGGCCCGGGATTAGTGTCAGCACGCCACAGCAGGTCTGGGTTAGATAGCGGCTAATTCGGTAATGCTGCATACAGGTGACCTCCGCTCCCAGGCATCACTGCTGCTGAAGGGAGGCAGTGTTTGATGAATTTATAATGTCAGAGTGATTATGTGAGTCGCAGTCAATGCTGGTTACAAGGGCCTTTTGCTCTAATGTGTGTTTTGTCCTGCGTTACAGGAGCTTCCATTACCTTGGAACACAAAGCTTTGAAATAACAGAAGGACTTTCTGGTTTGTATTATTACTCTGCTGCTTGAAATCTAAAAATTAGGATATAGTTTCATTTTATGTATAAAAGATACACCTTTCATGTACATTATACTTCAAATGTGTTCAAATATACAGTATTTAACTTATATCATATGGAAAATGATACTGTATGTAACATAGTACTTAACTTCATCATCTAATGCACCAGTTATAAAGAGATGTGTACTCGCTGTTTTCTAGTGCAGGGATGTAACTAAGTCCATTTACCTTGTTACTGTACTTAAGTACATTTTTCATGTATCTGTACTTCACATAAGTAGATTTATGTTCAGGTACTTTTCACTTTCACTCCACTACATATATCAGATAATAATTGTACTTTCTACTCCACTACATTCTCACAATTCATTGTGATTTTCATGTTTTTAAAATCAATCAATAAGGAGAGGGGAATTGGTCCACTGATCCAATCAGAGCAGGCATTAGACTCTGCCTCCTTCAATGAAAGTAAAGCACACTTCATCACACATCACAGATACTTATTAGCTAAGTGCCCCCCATGACCATATTTAAAAGAGATATATGACAGAATCTGTACTATTCTCGTATAAATCAGAATATATAGTAGGCCTAGTTAATGATGTAGTAGATTATTGCAATTGGGAATACTTTTAATACTTAAAGTATATTTAAAAGTAAGTTCTAATTTACTTTTACTCAAGTAGAAAAGGTAATGTGATACTTTTCCTCCATGCCGCACCTTTAGTGTGGATATGAGTTACGAGCAGTTTTACAACTCAGATTGTTAAACTTGAAGGATTTTTTATGGGTCAGAAAAAGTAAAAGTATCCAGTTTTGACAGGGAAAAAGCAAAAATATGAAAAATGTCGTTTATTTCATCCTAAGTACCAAGAGTGTTTCAATTTGTTTCCAGAATCAATCAAGTTGTTTCAAGAGTTTTCTCATTACAAGTTCCAAGCGGACATGAGGGGAGGCTCCCAACTCCCAGTTTTTGAGGTGGCAACCTAATGCAACCTAAGACCTTTCTAATTCAGACTTATTTGCAGCATTTATTGCAAGAAGTCCGATACGTGGCTTTGAGCATGTTCATTCATACCAAGCATCACATCTTTCAGTCCAGGTTCATTCTATTATATATATTCTATATTCTAAAAAATCCTCTTCTCCTTCCGATATGGGCTTCACTGACTCTTAAGATTTTTTCTGTGGTGAGCACACAGATTTTCAGGTATTCATTGCACCCCGTTCCTGCCGCGATTATTAAGTTCTGCTTGTGGCTGCGACTTCTTTCAGGAAACCCCATTTGAATACGTTGAGGGAGGCCACGGTGGCTCAGGCACCCAGGGCACACTTTGATCCCTGCAGATCTGAGGCCCCTTTTTTTCATCCCGAGATTGAACAAGTCATGGAAGCCTTGCCCTGCCAGATGTTAGGAGACCAGACTCCTTCCTGCGTCTCATCCTGCTGTCGCCTCTGGTGATCGCATCGGGTTCTTTTTCGGGGCTGGAGCTCGACCTGGAGTGTTTCAGGACACCAGTGGAGAAAAACAGAAAATTAGCCATGGAAATTGAATTACCCCACCCCTCCAGAATCAGTCGCACACACTCCGCACCCTGCTCCCATTAATGCCAAAACACCGGGGCGTGACCTGGAAGCTCTCAGTGTATTTGACGGATGTTGGGTCTTTTCTGAGTGATTTACCAAAGCCTAGTGTTGCAAGTGACAAGATTATCAGTATTTTTCTTCAATATATGAAACAAAGCACAGCACATGACTTTGAGAGATATCAGTTTTACTGTGTATCTGACATCAGGCGAGGAGACTAGTCTTACTCTTTAGCCAAATACCCGCAGTGCTGCCTTTTATAGTGTGAAGAGAGCATTAAAGCACTTTGTACTCCAGGCATTCTCAGACGTCTGAAGCACCAACCTTTGATTTCTAGTGTTTTGTCAGTTAAAAAGTTCCGTAGTCGTGTAAGCTGCATGTTCAAAAAAACCATGTCACCTCTCATCACCTGTCTCCATAGCCTGAATATTAATACAACATATTTATAAATGAGTCACAGAGGCGTGTGCTGAAAGAAAGCTTTTGGTAGCAAGCGGCAGATATGATCAGAGCGCTGCTTATGCTCCTCAGCGTGGTAAACAGGATGGTGCCGAGGATCAGTCAGAGCTGACTTTATGGTTTATGAAAACTGAGCTACTTATGTTAACAGGCTTTTTGAAGATTATAGTTGTGGTAAACATACATGTCAAGAGAGAGACATGTGATAAAATGGAGCCACAACACAGAGACCAATTACCTCTGCACTCTGGAAGATGGTTAACCTGTTCTAAGGGATGAGATGAGGAGGTGAAAGAAAAGAATGGTTGAAGTTTACATTGAATTATCGTTTATAGTCATGTCCTACCAGTGCATAACATGGTGCAGTCAATAAGAATTGATTTTGTTTGCTGCCCGGAGTTGTCCCTGTGCTTTATAGCCACAGCTGGAGAGCTTATTGGGAATGTGGACCACTCTGAGGTCAAACCCACACCCACCAGTATATCTCACTTTCGACTCTTGTTCCCTCCCTCACCTCTTAAAACGTCTTCCCACATGTTCCGCGAGGTTCGCAGTCACCAGGTGCTGCTCCACCCCACCGCCACCACCACCACCACCAAAGCGGCAGCATCACTGTATCAACATGCATCTGCCAGACAAATGATCCACCCTCTCCATGTTCTCTAGACAAATACTCTCCCTCCCTCTCGCTGTCTCTCAACCTCCTGATTTATCTGTCTGTCTCCGCGTATCTCCGCAACTCAACCGGATGCCTTCAGTTTTAGGCAAATTACAGGCTCGCTGAAGCGGCAGAGGAGATTTGGAGGGGATAGGAAAAGACTCAACTTAACGGAAGGAGTTGCCTCTGTCTGACGCTACCTACGTAATCCTCTTAATGTCAGTGGGAGTAGTTAACAGGATGTACTTCCAAACTACTCATCATCACAATTCCAACAGAATAATCTCCTCAGACATGAAATCAAGGTGGAAGATGATGCTCCAAGTTCTCTGTTATTTCGCACATGTGGATTGAGTCATTTGATTTAGTTCAACAAAGTTTTTCCAAACACACAAAATCGTATTACTTTATTTTTGTTGACAGAATTTTATATTGGGGTAAAAAATATTTTATCTCACTCAGAAGCTTAATGCCGCTAGTTTGCATATTTTAATCCATTTTTGGCCTGGTTTCCTTGTCATTCTTGTCTCCCTCCTCGCTACTTACTTTTTACTCATCCTGCAAGGTCACAGTTACATGTATTATTTCTCTGACAAATGATTGACTTCCACAAAGTTGAGAGATTTCTTTTTTTCCCCTCCACTCAACATTTCTTTAGGAGTCAAGGTTCCGAATCTGCTGTCAGGCCAAATGATTGATTTCAGTGTGAAAAATTACTTGTAAGTAACAACATCCTCCACTCGCAATAGTGAAAACAGATGCGGGAAGGACTCCTTTTTCCGAATTATCTGTAGGACTTGACCAGCATGTCTTGTAATTTAAAACACATGAGTTGCTTTATAAGTATGATGTTCAAAATGACGAGAGCGGTAATGCTTCTCTGGAACCCTGGAAACTTCTGGAAATTCTCTTCGACTGCAGATATCTGTTTAGGGTCTTTGTTTGCAACTGACAAGTAATGTCTGTGTGTGTGTTCATGTTCATGTTTGTATGTGTGTGTCTGGGTTTATGTGCCCATGTGTGTGTGTGTGTGTGTGTGTGTGAGTGTGTGAGTGTGTGAGTGTGAGAGAAGAGGCGGTTGTGAGTTAAAGAGAGGGGTCTGGGTTGCACATGCCTCATTTAGACATCAAAGCGCTCTGATGATGATTTTTCCTTATAATCCATGCCTTTTGGTGCCTCTGCTCCCTCCATCTGAATAAACAAAGCCCAAGTGGTTCTCTGTGGTCTGGGAGAGTCAGGTGATTGCGGCACGTGATTTGGGAAGTAAATCGATACACATCTAATTTATTCGAGAGGAGAGACCAAAATCCCTCTTTTATGTTGTTTCTGAGGAGCATTCAGATTTTTCAAGGGATTTCAAAGTGGCATTTAGAGATGTAATATGAGTCATCTGGTGCTCTTTGAAAATGAAAGAAATACCTATCTCAGAATTCCAGATCTTTTATATCTCAAGAAGCAAACTTGTACAATGTGTAAGTCTCTCACCGAGAAGAGCAAACTGTGCTTGGCTTTCTTTTGAAAAGGGAGAAATCAATATTGCATGAACCACACAGCCTCTGTATTCCCAGTCGACCATTATTCCTCCCCACCCCAAAACAGCAGACGTTACCCACGATCATTTAGCGAACCCCCAGCGTGAGCCACTGTCTGACCCCTTCCCAGCTCTGCCTTTCCATGTCAAAGCCGTGCTCCCCTGCCAGAAGCCACTTTGGCTGCCTCCCTGCCTGTAATATATCTGCAGGAGCAGCATTCCTCTGGGGCTGGCCTGGATCAAATGGCAGTGATTTCCCAAACAGAGGCACAGAGATGGGAGGCTTGACCCATCCTCTGATCTGCTACACGCTCTAATAGCTGCAGGTCAGGATGGATAAATGGTGATGTTGAACTCCCGTGGGTTATGTTCTGGGCTCCAGATCTGAAGCAGGATGTGGGATCCAACAGATTTAGGCCTGAATGATTTTTAGACGAACATCAAATTGTGTTTTTCTCAACTAATACCATGATTTAAATTGTAATTATTTTCTATAAACTTAACTGCAGGCCTGCGTTGTACATTTTACTAAATGTTGCTTAACACTGAACAATAAAATAAAATTATGTATAATTATTAATAATGTAAATGATAAGATAATAATGCTAACATCTCTACTCTGCAGTTACGACAGACGTTAAGTCACTAAAATCAATGTGAGACAATCTCAATCCATGAGACTTCCCTCTGTTGTTTATTGTCAACAGCACAAAGTCTATACAGCCATGGCAGCAGCTCTGTGAGGTTATATTTAGACAGCTTTGATCTAAATTCTTGTCAGCATGCTCACAGTGACAATACTGGTTTAAAAGGTACAACACATTTACCATCCTTGAGCTATCTTGAGTTAGCATGCTAACATTTGCTTATTAGCACTAAAGATTCTCTCATATCTGAATATTGTCTTTTTTGCAGGTATTTGAATATAAAATGTAGATCCCAACAAGTAACATTTCAACAGGATGATGGGGCTAGAAAAATCATGGCATCTCCCAAAAAATATTACAGTTCATCTCGAGGGGAACATGAATATGTGAACCAAATTTCATGGCACTGTATCTAAGAATTATGGAGACATTTCACTCAAAACCATCAATGTTTTAAGGTTGTTGGAGCTAAATTTCAGCATAGAGATCCTCCTGTGCTACACATGTTATTATTACCGAAATAGACTGGATATAACATTTGGACCCAGAGTTTGCGCAGTAGCAATCGCTGGATGGAGCCGTGACATTTCAATCTCTCCAATATACATTTTGACCAATAATAAGTTAGCATTTGCACAAACATCAGCACGAACTACCTAAAATGACACAAACCATCTTTAAGAGAAATTTGTCTGTTGTGCACTTTGGCTTTTCAATTTGGTCCATGATCCATCCTTTAACATTGAGGAGGCAGGGTTTATGTCCTTGACTGCAGCCAGCCACTAGAGGGCGATCAAAACGCCCTGGCTTCACTTTTGAGGAACTGTCATGACGTCCATCTTTGTATACAGTCTATACAACAAACACATCGTGAAAATACTAACAAGATATTAGCCAAGACTTTGGCCAACTCACAGAATTAATTCTAATTTTAGAAATGTTTAAGCTACAATAAAGCCAGTGATCAGCTTGAACTTTATTTATTTAAAATTAAGATGGTGGTACTTGCATTCTTTCAGATTGAGCTTTTGGCATAAAAGCTTTAAATTTGTCAGCTGGTTACAATAGAGAGTCTTAAACAAACAGGAAGTCTAATTCTTTAATGTTTGCTCTGAATGTAGTTTTGGGTCAGTGCATGAAATGAAATCCACAAATATGAAAACAAATCATTACTTGTTTTCATATTTGTGGAATTCATTTTTATAAAGATAAAACAAATGCTTGTTTAAAACACAAGCAGGCTCTCAGACTGTTTTACAGTACAATACAGTTCTGAAACTTTGTCCAAGGCCGTCAGAATTCATTATTTGTGATTGAGTGCTTTGATGCAATTTCAGGGGAATAAAACATTTGCTTAACAAACCCATTTTCTGCATCATTAGCCAGACATTGTCCTACATACTGACATTATTTTGTTTTTATTAAAAAAGTAAGTTACAAATGTTTATTTGTGCTGGTTTACTTAATCTGTTAACCTGTGATGCAGATACAATGGCTCTTTCAGGTTTCATGTTGTCGAGTTTATCTCAATGTAACATCTAAAGATTAAACATTATTTTGATGCAGCCACACCGAGCTACTTGAAATAAACTGAGCTGTTTCTTCCTCAGCCATTTTATTACAGCTACATGAGCTCCATCCAAATATCCTCAAATACTCAGGGGTAGCAGGGATTCAGACAGTGGCTGGTTAGCACCTCTGAGGCATGGAGAGATAAGATTCACGGTAAAAGTTGGCTAATATCTCTGAACTGACAGGAACTTTCTGGGCATTTAAGGAGTGTGACTTTAGTAAACCTGTGCTGGTTTGAATAACATCAAGAAAACCGAGGAAAGATGGGGGGGCTGAGGAGAGGGGCCTGCTCTTTGATGTATAGGATTGAGATGTGATGAGGTCTGTTCAAAGTGAGTACAAAGTAGTGTTAAGATGGAAAAAGCAAATGCAGCTTTAGTCAAGGTAGAGAAGCCGGGGTAGTGAGAGATGATGAAGAAATGTCCTGTCTCAACAAGATGAAACGTTATCTGACATTAAATATATATGCTTCCTTGTAAAGGTGGCTCAGCTATAAAGCACACTTTTGTAAGTGAATTCAAAGAATGTGGTAAGCCTTCATAATTTACTTATGTTTGAAAAATCGAAATTATTGTCTATCTTTAGCAAGACATTATCAATAACATTTCACTGTCTGTGCTTTGATAATTAATTAATTCTTCAGATTTCATTCACACAGTTTTAATAAAAAATAGGGGAAAACAACTTAACGTAGCCATAGAGGAGTCGTTCAATGGTTGGGAATGTGAATGTGTGCAGAGGTAACGAGGTGAAGATCAACTCTCAGGAGTCACCAATCATACCAGAGTTATCAAATCACAAGATGAGTCTTGTGTTTCTGGGTCCAATATGTCAAATGGAGATAGGACTTCTCTGTCCATACATTTTAATGTGGTATATAAAAGGCAAAATCAAAAACATTTAAAAATGGCTCTTGACTCATACGGGTCGAGCATAGCATAGAGACTGGAAAAACGGAAGTGTCTCTAGCCAAGTTCTGTCTCAACATCCAACACATTTAAATACACTCTATAGTTTAATGAGAAAATTAGCTAATGTCTAATGAAGCTATAACCAACATGATTGTCTAATCTTAGCATAGAGACTGGAAAAAGGAAGGTGTAGCTATAGGTTAGATTATATAAATGAAAGATCATATAGTGTGGCTGATAGATTGATGGTTTTACTTTTGGACATAGCAAGGTTATTTCTCTATGCAAAGCTAAGGTAACCACATGTTGTTTGTGGCTTCATGTAAGATATAAGTAGATTTTTTTTCATCAAACTCTGAAGTGTTTTATTTCAAGAACCTTTGGTTGATTTTACATCATGCAAGTGTTTGACCAGCACTTCATTGACTTACACTCTACTGTACAGTGAATTTGGATGACGTGGCAGCGGTCAGGAGAGACTCTAACTTCATGTGAGAGGGCATTTTTTGTATTTTCACTGATTTCCTAGGAAAATAATGAATGGATCTTGATGAAAACAATCAGTCACATTTAAGGAACTTATGTCTATGAGTGTGTGACATGTGGTGATGTTTGACAGAATGTAAGGAACTGTTGGGCCTTGGCATAGGTATGCGATCTACTGATTCTAGTTTGCCACAATCGTCTGCACATTTTCTGAGCTTTCTACTGTGAAGACATGGGAAGATCTGATCTGAGCATCAGTTTAAGCTCATCCAGGAATTAATTTAATCTTTTCTGTGAGTCTTGGCCACAGTATATACTACACACACCACTGTCTCACGTCAGCCTCTTCCAGTGTAGCTGTTAGGCAAACTTAACTTGTCATCGTCTGTGTACCTGTGAGGATAGATATAATTCGATCTGGTTTATATGTGTGGATTTTTGTAACGTTAAGCTGTTATTGAGTCAGCTCATCAGTGAAATTACATAATCTCACCAAAGTAAATTTCAAATGTTTGCCACTTTGTCACACACGAGGGTGCAGATTTGAAAAGTCGAGGGCAGGATCTGTTTACTGCTGCTGTCATTACCATCGATATCATTTTGGTGCTTCTTGTTGTTGTTTTTTTTTCTTAGTTGGATCACTGCCCTCATTTTTCCTCTGTTGCAGGTCCAGTGATGAAGCTGCAGCAGAGGACTCCTCGCCGGCGGGGCCAGCAGCCCAAGCTGCTCAACAGCCCTGAAGACAGCCTGTACTACAACCAGCTAAATGTGAGTTCAAAGTGCCGATAAAGGCCTTTGTCTGACTTTGGTTCCACATGATAATACAATTAAACCTACCTGTGCCAGACCCTGGAGCCCCACCCCCACGCTTCTCTGCCTCTTGTCTTGAACATGCGCTTATGCTCTTTATCTGTTGCTTTCATGTCAGGATGTCTGCCTTCACGGTGAATAATTGATGTGGTTTATCAAAGCTGAGCAAGATGCATGCTTCATCAGACTCACTTGAGCCCTTTGATCAGAAAAAAATTATGCTGTGACTTCTGATATTATCAGCATCTGCTCGCATTCAACACAAAATCACTTTGAATTAAAAATTAATGACTCTCTGCTCATCTTTTGACTGTGTGCTCTTGGCCCTTTCCTCAGAGAACTCTGGATTACCAGGGGAGCAAGAGGAAGCCGAGAAAACTTGGGTAAATAACTGCTTTCCTACTTACAGCAACTCTAAACAGAGCAGGCCCTTTGTGGAATAGGAGAATCCAGAAATGGAGTTGTTTTCTCATAATGTAAATGGAGAGCCGAAAATAACAGGCTTTTTAGGAGCAGTTGCTCTGCGTCATTAGAGAGGGGGTTACATATTAGGGCTTTGTCAGCATGCTAATTTAAGTTGTCGAAGGTCTGACTTGGATTTGTTCTATAAATTACGTCCTGGTTCAGATCAGCAAGAAGAGGACGCCTGAATGCTTCTTCCCCGCATCTGCAAATATTGTTTTTATTTCCACATGTCTGTTTTATCCCATCATGAAAACTCAGCTTGCATTGCAGCAACTTCTGACCACTTTCTTTTTCTTCTTTCACATCACAGTCAAATCAAAGTGCTGGATGGAGAAGATGAGTACTACAAATTACTGTCAACAGTGGAGTCGATCCCTGAGGAAGACTACGCACCCGCCCCCTCTCCCGCCCTTTCTACTGGGCCTCTCGTCAGTCAAAGCTGAGCCTTACAACCATGTCAACCGGTAAGACAGATGCAGCAGACATGTAGACAGACACTCCAAAGAACATCCTCTGTGTTGGATGTTCTGTCGTGTGAGGAGCCAGTAGCAGCAGTGCAAAATAAGCGACCAGCGCAGGCAGTGGCCTCAGCTGTGAATCTTAAGTGTTCAGAAAGTGCACACATGGAACAAGTTACTCATCAGTTACTTTATACTGACACTTTTTAAAGGATTGTGGCATTTCTGTGAATTGACATGACAGTTCCTCTGTTGATATTAGTCTTTTTGTGGTCTTGTACTTGACTTGCTGCTATCGTACATCTCAATATGCAAAAATTTACAATATTATTGTTGTGTCATCTTTAACTAGTGTTGAATCCTTCACTCAATAAGAAACTAGTTGCTGGCTCATAAATGGCTTTGAAATGTTATAGATGTTGCATCAATAAATAAATTAATGACGGTACATGTAACAGCATCATGTAGTGCAGAGGAGGGGTGGTGACTTTTTGATAAAAGTATCCTGTAGTGTATCAGTTATTTATTTTATTGACTCAGTCTTAACTCTAAGAAACATTTAAAATATTAAATAAATTATACAAAAATGATGTCTTTAATGTACAGCCATGGTGTTCAATTTAAATGCTTTACATTTTTAGCTTTAACCAGTAGATGTTTTATGATCCCACACATAAATTATTTTATGATTTGAATTATAATTTATAAGTTCCTTTATAACATTTACTTATTGATCCATCATTTAAATTCTACTTTACATTTACAACAAAGAGCCCTCCCCCTTCATCTTACTGTGTGTTTCTAACTCTGTGGTGTTTTCCTGACATGGACACATTTACCTATTTTTGAGCATTATGTTTGTTGCCGGATCCAGAGACAGATCCTTTCTGAAACATGAAACTCGTGGCGAGAGCTCCCACAGCGAGCTGCCTGTAGTTTGAGGGGCTTTGTGCTGTCTGAGTGCTGGAATCACCACACATAGCCTCACAGTAGCAGAGCCAGACCTCACTTTGAATTTCACCCTAAATACAGGAATTTTCTTTAAAGATGTGAAGTGTCGGAAATGCAGGGCTGGCGAGTTGATTTGTAGAGGGGTTTTTTTCTTTTCAATTTGCATATCATTTACTGCATCTCCCTTTGTTGACACCCGAGGGCCTGAGAAGAGATTTTGATCTTAATAGGAAGAGTAGGGTGGTATGACTGAGGATCTCATCCTCCTTATACTCAGCAGGGAAAACATTAGAGCTCTGCCTAGACAGTGAGACCGGCTTCACTTAGGTTCAGGTTCATGAGAATCCTGGTTGGTTGAAAGAGGCCCAAAGTGTTCGTCAAATCCCACTGCTCGTTGCTGGGGAGGTCAGATGCAGGTTGAGATGCTGACTACTGACTCATCAACTAAAACATCAGCGGCCATCCATAATTAAAAAAGTGAAATTTAACATGATAGATGGTTTAAAACCAGACGTTTTATCACTTGAAAACACCTGTTATTTTCCAACCATAACTATGCTGTTTGTTGTATTTAATGACCACAATGCTTGTAGTGCTTCATCCACAGTGGTGAATTAAATTTCAAACTTAAGTAAAAGTAGAAATACACCAAATTACTTTATTGCAAGTAAAGGTTCTACATTCAAAATGTAAATAAAAGTATGTAAGTATGAGAGTATAAAGACAAAAAGGGCTCTTGTCATTGTTAAACTGATTATCTACTGATTATCCTACTTGAGTATCGTTATTATTAGTGCAAAATTAACCTTGAACTCATACAGTATACTTTTAGGTTGTATACCCCATTACAATATAAAAATTGATACTTAAAAATGAATTGGCAAAGAAACAAAGTGACTATGCATGAAAAATAGATATCTATAGAAAATAAATAAAGTCTTTAAGTAGCATACAATGCAGATACTCTAGTAAAGTGACCTGTATTTGGACATATGGACAATGCTTGAGTAAATGTACCTTTCATTCCACCACTGCTAGTATAAGACGATGAAAAGATGTAACACACATCAACCATCATTATTCAAAAAGCTGATTCCATGATAATAATAAAAAAAATGGCTCACCAAATTAAGCTGCATCAATAATATATCACTAGTCTTTTCAATTTGCCATATGTAACCCTAAAGAAAACTCAGAAGTAATAGTCTGGACCACTGGCAGTGTTATAATGTGGTGTCACAGTTAGTTCATAAGCATTTCACCTCCGGTCGTAGCCACAGATCCTACAATAATTAAAATCCTCGTTGTGCATTACTCCCTTGCTGGGATAGTTGGTTCCTCTGAAGAGCAGTCTGAAATAGGTCACCCCAGCACCCTGTAGTGCATCTTAAAAGTACACTGAATCAATTAAGTGTGATCATGCTCCCCTGATTATTTTGGCCCTGTTTTACCACAGAGAGGAATTTCAAATAGGCTCACTCGTTTGAATAACAAGGTTGGACTGTGGTGACAAATGGTGCCAGAGTGGGTGTTTCTTCCCCTGTTTTTCTCTGCCAAATTAACTCCCTGGCTGATTGCCTGCTTTAGCATATGAGAGGAGGTGAGCGGAGGTGTGTATGTAATTGCCTTGGTTAGCTGATTATGCGTTGAAGAAGGAAAAATGTTATGAAATGCTGTTGTCACTCTCGTGAAACATGTTCTGACCTAATGAACTGATGCGTCTGCATCTGCTTGGACTGCTGGTCGCCTTAACATTGCATCAAGTCCGTCTTCGAGGCCCAACACCTGTGTTTTCTTTAATACGGCTTCATAAATCCAACTCCCTCTTGTTTTTCCTCATTAAATCTGACAACATCTGGCGTGCTAGAGAGGGGCTCCTTTAATGTGGGTGCCGTTGCTGCTGGTGTTATTTTTGCCATTTTGGCTATTTGCTGCATGTGCTGCACTTTCATTAGAGCTACATCCAAGGCAGCCACAAACACTGTTTTCCAAAAGTTTTAAATCACCTTTATGAAAATCGCTCAAGCTTCAGCCTTAACAAATGATGAAAAGCTTTTATTTTCTAAAGAAGTATACTTACCTTTTCACCTAATAGTGTTGTCTCACTTCAAAGGGAGCACACGATTAGGCCAACATTGTCCTGCTTCTGTATCCTTTGAGTTCAAAGGGAGAGTTTGAATACCTGTATTTCATGTGCAGCCTTTTCAAATACTGTTTTAATGCAGTTTATGTGCTCTTGATATCCAGATGTGTCAGATTTCCCCCACAGTAGAATACAGCACACTACATTATGGTTGCATAGAACAGCATTTTGCATAACTAAAGAATTAATGTCGCATCTTCTTCCTTAATAGTTTTTGTTCCCCTGAACTTCAAGGACAGAGGATGAACAAACGCCTTAAATAGCTACATACTCAGCATTGTGACGCTCTTTGCTGGCTAATGATTGGCGCCAAAGAAAGTGGCATAACATGAGCGTCGACCAGATGTCAGAAGTGCGTCGAGGGCTCTGAGAAAAAGAACATTCCCTAAAGACGGCATTAATAAAGAAACTGGTCGAGCCTGTGGAGAAGGAGAGAGTGAGAGGCAAAGAGGAAGAAGGAGATAAAAGAGTCTGTTGAGTAGATACATCAAAGGTCTGTTAATGACAAGGGGGTGCCATTAGGGTTACAGTGGCTTTTGTTTCAGCTTCCTCACACCTGCAGTTTGTTGAGGGCTCTCTATGCACTGTTTTGTTGTCTTACATTTGCATGAATGTAAAATGCATGCATGAGGGCTGCTAATCTTGGAGTTGACCAGATGTTTTGGTCAAAACGACAGCTTCCCTTTTCATTTGCAGAAGAGGCTGCCACTGTAAAGAGGGATAAAGAGAAGGCTCAAATAGAACAAGAGGAACCGTATGGAAAAGCTGTTATCCTGTACACCATGAAATTTATTGACTTAAAAGTTTTCTCAGTGCCTCCGGTGCTGGAGTGGGATTTGACAAATCAGAGCGTGAAATTGTGATTAGCCTCTCTCAGTTTGTAGACGGACTGGGGCACCAGCAGACTTGGCATGGCCAAAGGTGTAACCTGTTTTGTTTTGCCCCGGCACTGCTTTCCCAGATGGTGGGACCAGCTGCCACTGAATAAATGCTGGACGGTTAACAGTGTGAGAATTACCGCGGCCTTGTTTCAGTTTGGAATGCATAACGGAAAGCTTGTCTTTTTTGCCACTGCCAGGAGGTGCAGGGACGTATCACCTGGTGTTCAACCAAACAATCTTTTTATTGAGGTCAGGATAAAAAGATGTGTGGTAAAACTTCACTAAAAACCTGTCCAAAGGCTCCTATATTTCTCTTATTTTCTTCATTGTGAATGGAGACCCCCGTAGTCATTTTACTGTATAATTGCAGTATTTCTTCACAGGTCTGTTAAGATATTCATCAACAGTAGAGTCAGACAACTAAGTTAAACATTTGCAACTACCTCCGTACTTTCCTGCAGACCGACACCAATGTCTGTGTGTTGTCAAGAAAATCACATGATCTCCGCAGCAGAATTAAAACGTTACTTCCACGTTACTTCCAGCCTCTGCTTGCCGCTCACAGCTGCACCACCTCTAGCCTGAATAATGTGAACAATTTGTCGCAGTCTTGAATGCGCCTGTGCAGAGAACCTCCCACTGCGATGTGCATGTGTCAAAAGCAAACTGCGGATAAAGAACGGACCAAATTCTCCGGACTTTACCCGCAGGTCATGTCTGAAAATGGCTTTAGATTATTTAACCTTGTGCAGCAAGAAATCTTATTGTACTGTTAAAACAGAGTGATCAGGTTGAACCGATTGATGAAACTAAATAAATGTTCGCAAATGTTGCTGTCCTTCTTGTTTCAATGTTATGTTTTGAAGCAACAATCTGTCCGGTTAAAGTGTGACACATTTTCTGTCTTCTACACTTGCCTTGCTCAAGTGCTCTGTAGCAACATCACATGGAAAGTCGTCACCATAGTGAAAAACTGTCATAAGATTTTATCATATCTTTTCAAAAACATCAACGAGTTCTCCTTAAAACACTTGAATATTTAAGGATCTCCTGTCCCTGGCATCGCAGTGTAATAACTGATGTCTTTTTATTGTAATTTTTCCTGGGAGAGCGCTGCAGGCTGTGACCCCAGCTGTACATCATCATAGAGGGGGAGGAGATCCCCTCTTTAGGGCTGGATTAACACATGCAGGGTGGGCCAGGAGAAGGTAAAATGACCTGTCCTGCCTTACGTGACCCTAGGCCAACCCTGTGCATTGCCAAGGCTTTGCTCTTTGCTCTTGAATATGTAGAGGTCCCCAGCCTCATAGACTCGGAGGAGAGACAGAAAAGAGTTGTATCGCATTGCAGGGAAAATTAGTGAGACCAAAGTTGGAGTTTCTGTGTGTTGGGGGCTGCGAACAATGGCAGCTTTCTGTCAGACAGCAACTTCAAAGGTCTGCTGAGTGACTGCTCTGAGTTATACTTTGTTGTAGATCACTGAGGAAATTCACAGATGTTTTCTCATACGAGACACCATTATAGCGGCTCAAGTACCCAGTAGCCCCGAGCGTCTCTCTCTCTCTCTCTCTCCCCTCTCTCCCTCACTCTCCTTCTCACACATGCAGCCCCCACCCCCCCCCCACTCTCACCCTCTCCTTTACCCACCCTCATCCCAAGTCTCTGATATCTCTCGTATGAGACAGATGTGGAACCTGTTTTCGCTCCAACTGTCCAGAGAATAGGGAAAGTTAAAAAGAGGTTCATGTTGTGGAGTTGCCCCTCGACTCTGTCAAATCCACAGAGCTGAACTGTCAGTTCACTCAAGATGTCAAAATCACATGCAGCTCCATTCTATCATATCCATTCATGGTCAATTCCATAAGTTGCACATTAAATGATTTAACCTGAAAATTGCAGAATGATAATGAATGATGTTCTGGTTGTTTTTCTGTCTCCTCTGCAGAATTATATCTTCATCACTGAACTGGACCAAAACAAACTCCATGTCAACAATACACTTGACATTTATTGTATATTTTTATTTATTTATAGAAAATTCCTGTTTTATATGAGTCAAATAAATGTATTCAAACCATTGACTTTGATTATCTTCCTTGAAATTAATGGTCTTTTTAATATTTTATGCAAAACTTTGAAAAGTATGTAGAAGAATATACAGTAATACATAAGTACATCCACACTCGCACTTTCAAGGTGATTGTCTTGAGATGATTCTTTGATCAGCTCTTTGTTTTAAACTCAGAAATTCCCATTTCTAAACAATATAGAAATGCGATTTGATGCACTTATTCACCTCATTGTTTTCTTTGATTGTCATTGTTTGTAGATTCTAAAAATGCCTGCTTTCATTACAACAACTGTTGACAGTTGTGTGTCCTGTATCCACTGAAAGACTTTATCTTCTTTTAAGATATTCTGCTAATCCCTGCTGCAGCTCTGTACATGTCTGCACCTCTCAACAGCATTTCTGTTGATCGACTCTCTGCTTTATGCTTTTAAGTACTTTATGAAGTACACGGATGGTATTGACTGATACCGTGTTCAAACCTTTGAGTATCCAGACAGAAAACTATTGCAGAAGGGTTTCCTTCAAGTAAATTTTCCCATCAAATGCCATAGGAAAAATTTCTTTTAGCCAAACCACTGCTGAGGTGACCTGTAAAACTTGAGTCATGGCTATTAGACGGTGAAGGTTTGGAGCAAGTAAATTACCTCAGGGACTGGACATTGTGTCAACGCACACAGTCATGAATTTCTTACAAACTATATCAAAGTCGTGCTCAGGCAGAATCCTCCCTTAGATGGAGTCCCATTGAGATGCATCATAATGTAAGAACTTGCATTTGGGGCTGAACCGAGTATCTCAAAGGAAGATACTGATAATTTAAGCTGATGGCTCATAACATTGATGCAGTTGTCATATATGGCTGAATTTTTCCTTGCATTGCATGACAGCTCATTTGTAAAGCTGATTTAAGTGAAAATCCACCTTAGGGTGGCAGAGTTAATATACTCAAGTTTAATGTCCACATCCCTGCTTTTTAGAAACATAAAAAAGTCTGTTTTTTTATTTTTTGGGTGGACTGTCCATTTAACAAATATTAAATAACAGCTCTTTGCTGCACTGATACAAATGTATTGTAACTTAGTCCATTCTGCTCACCTGAGTTTACGTTTGATCATTTTATTATGATTTTCATCTGTTTACCTGAAGTCATGAAGTAATCAACTATTTCTGGTAAGATGCCCGTTTTAAAGACTTGACAGCTTGGAGCTAATACGTTTATTTATTCATGGTTAATAAATCATTTGCTAATACTTTATTAGCAATGAATAAGAATGACTTTTGGGTCACCAGGGTGTGAAAAATAATTTTTACTGATGTTTATCCTCCTTCTGCTTGATACTGTTTTGAAATATACAGTGAATGTGTGTAAAAACCCGTTATTAATAACTTATCAACATATTTCTGATTTAATATACTGATAGAAACTGAGAAACTGTGAGTATTCACCAACAGTCATACCTCGATTTTCATAAATGACAGACACCAGACAAGGATTTTTCTCACAACTTGTCAACTCAAAACCTAAATCTGTTTGCCTTTTTTCATCTCTATGTCAAAATCATTGAACACCCAGATAACCTAAGTAAATACATGTACGTACATCACTAATGTACAATTCACAACTAGTCGTAAATGGCTTTAATAATGGTAAATAAATATGTTGATGCTGCGTTATGGATCAGTTAACGATTTGTAAAGCCGTATTTATAATTTTTGTATATGAGCCTTGTTCCAAAGTTGTGCCAATGTTTATTGATCATAAAAAAACGTCCATCTACACATTCAGAGGTTTTGTACTTTTATAACTTGACCTCTGCAGGAGGATTTTCAGTAAAGGTGTAAAAGAGCCAACAAATGTACAAACACTCTCTTGTGTAAATTTGGCTCAGAATTCAAAGCAATAATCTTTTCTTTTCCTGCACATTTTCTATAAACTTAACTATATGCGCTTATTCACCAACAGCTGCCATAAGTTGATGTAAACAAGGTTAATCTCCACTGTTTTTTTATTTTATTATGGTGACTACACCACTCCTGTAGCCAGTTTTGTAGTTTAACATGGCTCCAGTGCAGCCCAGCAGGACTCCTCCTTTCCCTCATGACTGTGTATAAAGCCGTGGGAGAGGACTGGGAACATTAATCCCTTCAAAGGAACAGATCTAATTCAAAATCTGCCGCTCCAAACTAGTTGAGAGGACAGTGATTGTTTCTGCAGGGAAGCCAGATAAAGATCAGAGGGTTGATATAGAAAACTACAACTTCCATTTCAACTGCTCTCCCACCAAAGTTTGGATATTATCTTGTGAAAACTGCATACTTCTGCCTTCATTAAACAAAAAAGGGGAAATTTGATATGTCGGTTTAGCCTTTGTTTTAAAGTTTCTTTAAATTACAATCCGTTTGATATGGACTCTTTGATGGGATTTTTAACGTGTACTTCCTCCTCAGACATATTGACATGTGATGTTTATATAGAAATATAACAGAGCTGTCACTTTTTCAAGTGTTGGTGTTGTCACCTGGTTTCAAAACAGAGGTTTCCTTTGTGTGAGACGTTAACGAACATTCTCCTGAATTAGCTTGAGAGTTAAGATTGTATTGCTTGACAAAGGGGGCGAGAGAAAGAGAAATCTCAATTAGGAATAAGTTGTGATAAAACATCTGATTGAAATGTGAGAAGGAGAGAGAAGTGTTGAAATAAGTCAGTGGGGGCATAATTAAGTGTTTAATGCTGTGTTGCGGTTCAAAGGCACAACAAAGACAAGGTTTTAATTCAAATTAGAAATGAGAACTTTGTGTTGAGTCACTTGATTTTGGTCTCTCTCTCTCCATCAAGAGAGTGAGGCAACCGCTCTATGAGATCTCCAGAGATAACAATGTCATATTGTCACATAGGGTTCTGCTACAAATCCTTAATTACAAAAAGAGGATCAGATGACTTACAGCATCCAATACCGGGGTCTCCAGGCGGCATGAGGGGTCTTTGATCAAGAAAATCCAATTATTTGTGTATATACATTTCCCACATAGTGATTACTTCATTAATTGTCCCGCCTTTATCTCCTCCCTGCCCATCCCCCCTAATAATCAGCCCCTTTATCCAGACCAACAAACACACCATTGGAGCTTTGTGGATTCAAAGGATTTGCTTTCCCCTCTCAAAGAGCCGCCATTCTTTGATGATTGGGCAGCGGCAAACTTCAAAGTAATAAATCTTATTTCTGACTGGCTGGCGGCCCACCAAAGTCCTTATCAAAGCCTAAGAAGTGATCCCTCAGTCTTCAGATACACCGAGGAGATCCGGGAGAGAGGAGCCACCGAGGAGGAGGCAGGCACCGCTCCACGAGCTCTTCCATCACGAATGCTCACATTTATCTGAATTACAACTTTTTTTATTATTTTTTATTTTTATTTGGTTTATTCCGTCCAGAGGCAGGAGGACGTTTTTCCAACCATGGCGGCAGTGGCGGTGCTGCGGAATGAAACACTCCAGGCTTTTCTGCAGGTCGGTGCGCCACTTTCTCCACTTTCTACTTTTTCACGACTTTTAATAAACTTGTAAAAACTCGCTCAACCGCGATGATTTGCATTACGCGTCTCACGCACAGGGCTACACTGCAGACTTTTGATAGCTCAGTGTCATATAATTTAATTGCCAACACTAATAGTGTGCGTGTTAATGATTCCTGCGTCAACTTTTATGTCACATCCAAACGGTTCAGGCTGCAGGATCGATTTAGTGCGCATGAAATTCAAACTGTTCAGGCAAACCATCCCAGCATTGAAGAATAATAAAAAAAAGACTATGAGTGCTTTACCTCATTAAATGTCTCGATTAATGATTGTATTATAAAAAAAATATACGTGTGTCCTTTATCCAGGATCGCACTCCGAACTCTTCTCCAGAGAACTGTAAGCACTCTCCGCTGGCTCTCCTGGCCGCCACTTGTAACCGGATCGGGCACCACCACGGATCCAACCCAACAGATTTCCTCCAGGTCCCCTACGACCCCACTCTGGGCTCCCCCTCGCGATTGTTTCACCCGTGGACTAGCGAGGGGAACCCCCAGAGCAGCCTGGCGGGCAACTCCACTTTCGGACTATCTTCCAAGCCCCAGCTGTCCGCGCACATCCAGAGCTCCTTCAGCGCGCACCACGAACTGCCCCTCACCCCTCCGGCGGACCCCTCATACCCCTATGACTTCTCCCCCGTGAAGATGCTGCCTTGCTCCATGCAGTCCCTGCAGTCCACCTGCCCCCCCACCTACGTCCCCGCAGTCAGCTACGCGGCCCCTGCTCCCATTGCGCCCGCGATGCCAAGTTTTGTCACGGGACCCTCCGGCCTTATGCACCACCATCAGCAGCAGAGACAGTTGTCCCCCAACCCCGGGGAGGATATTCCGTGGTGGAGCCTGCAGCAGGGGAACCATGTCAGCCACTCGTCCTCCCTGGGTCCCCACCGCTTCCAGCTGCAGAGGGGCTTGGTCCTGGGACATACGGACTTTGCGCAATACCAGACGCAGATCGCCGCGCTCCTGCACACCAAGTCCCCGCTGGCGACTGCGCGGCGGTGCAGGAGGTGCAGGTGCCCCAACTGCCAGTCCTCCACGTCCAGCGACGAGCCCGGCAAGAAGAAGCAGCACATCTGTCACATACCGGGCTGCGGGAAAGTTTACGGGAAAACCTCGCACCTGAAGGCGCACCTGAGGTGGCACTCTGGGGAGCGGCCGTTTGTGTGCAACTGGCTGTTCTGCGGCAAGAGTTTCACCAGGTCGGACGAGCTGCAGAGACACCTGAGGACTCACACGGGGGAGAAGCGCTTTGTTTGTCCGGACTGCTGCAAGAGGTTCATGAGGAGTGACCACTTGGCAAAACACGTGAAAACGCACCAGAACAAAAAGAGCAAGTGCCACGACAAGACACTTGACCACGTCAAAAGGGAGGACACGAGGAATATGTTGTAACACACTTTATAGTCCTTTTAAACCGTAGACATCACTATAGTGCAATACAGTCAGTCCTACATTAGTTAACAGTTTCTATACATAGGGCATTCTGTTTCTTTCCTTGGTTGATTTCTCACATCCTGACAATACTTTCTAACATTGCTGGTCTGTGTAACACATTGTTTTCTATGTGTATATATACAAGTGTCATAAGTTAATTTGGGACCATGGAGAAGTTCTAGCTCATGAGTTTGAATTCAGTGTCTTTGTCGTATCAAGGAAGACGAGTTTTCAACTTGTGTTTTGATCATTGTCTTCGGTGGAAGATTTCACTCCCCTGTACATTATATTTAATAGCTTTTGTTGAATGAAAGTGTCAGTTTTTTGCTCCATATGGGGGTGTTTTTAAAAGCATGCTCTTGAAAAGATCTGCTATTGTTGATATGACCCAAATACTGTGTGAGAATAAAGATTATAACATTTTCCCCTTCTCAGAATAATTCATTCAATCTCACTCAGTTATATGAGCGATGAGACGGTCAGTGTTTTATATTTGAGAAGAATGTGAATATGATATTACCTGGAATGATATGTGTGTGCTTAGTAAACTGGTGTCAAAAGTTTTACTAGTGAAGCTCTGCATTTTAAAACTAAATTAAAATCAGTAAATGTGATTAAAAAAAAGGTCAAAGAGTAATTTACCCCAAAAGGGGAATTTATATTATTTTGAAAATGTAGTCCACAGTCTTATCTCCTACTTGTTTTTGTTTCATAAAACCTTAAAAAAAATCTTAAACTACATTTAGGTATCAGTCAGGTGACCGTGGTTGGTTGGTCTGCACTGTATTTCAAAATCTATACAGAAATATTTGGAAAATGTATATATTCTCTCAAACAATTAACGATATAGTGTTAAATGATGAAATGGAGCTGTGTGAGGGCTGAAAATCAGCCAGCAACTTTAAAACTGGCGTAATTCATAGAAAAACTTTCATCTCCAGACGAACCTGTCTCCTCTGAATAACATGAGCGCTTCATAGGTGCACACAGGTGCACATATTCTAAAATATAACTCTATCAAACTTCACACCTAAATGTTTCACTGTAGGGGCATTGAATTCAAAATAACCAAATTATTTGGGAAACGATGCAAAATAATGTTTAAAAGAATAAATAATAAAGTGTGTGGATGTTTAAATTTATGAATGCACTCTAATCGATGTGGTCTATTTGCTTCTGTGTTTTACATTTACCTGTAGTGAAACCGTAGACTGAGGCGAGATCAATAAATAGTGAGACACTTTTAATAGAAATATCCCTGGATTCATGTTGTTCACATTATATACAGCAGCTTTAATGTCTAAATTTAACGTCACCCAGGGTCTTGATGGACAGTGACAACAGTCCAGATGCAGAGTTTTTTTTTTTTTACCAAACTCACTAAGAAGTTTGTCTTTTCTAATGACACATATTAATTTTTTTACGGGCAGACTTCTCATTGATTAACACCTACATTAAATGTCATGTTATATCACCAACTGCTGTGGTAGAGCAGTTAGTGATATTCACCTTGCTCAAAGGCACTTCTTTGTGGTACGACTGTGTATTTATGTGTGGGCAACTACTTTTTGGTCGATTGTTTTTCATGCTGACTTCCTCCATCAAGATTTTCAGTGTAGGCTGGGGACTTTAAGTGATGATTGACCTTCTGGGGGGAAAAAAATAAATCTCGAGCTTTTTTTTAGGCTTCCTTACTTGAAACTAATAAACGCATTCTAGTTAAGAACTTTTCAGAATCTTAAACATCTGAACAGGAGGAAATCAGAGAAAAGCCGCTTCCTGCACCGAGCAGTCACGCTGTCAGGACAGGACGTCTGTCTCATGTGGGATCACTGAAAATGTCAGTATAGAGACAACAACTGCGGCCACTCACTGGAGTTTTGAACTGTCAGTTGCTGCCTCAACAGCGCCCCCTTTTGAAAGACAAACCCAAATATTCT